GTCTTTAATAGATTCTGATCGAAGCTAAGTGAACTGTTAATAATGGTGTAGTGTCGTATGGAAATGTTTAGGTAGCGATTTGATTTGAACGTATGATTGAATCGGTTTGATTTTTGATATCGAGGGGTAAAAGGATATTAAAAGGTTTAAGTGACATTTTTGCAACTTTTCATGAGAGCAATTTAATTTTTTTTACTGGTGGTAGGACCTCTTGTGAGTGCGCGCGGGTGGGTACCACCACTCTGCCTATTTCTGCCGTGAAGCAGTAATGCGTTTCGGTTTGAAGGGTGGGGCAGCCGTTGTAACTACACTTGAGACCTTAGAACTTATATCTCAAGGTGGGTGGCGCATTTACGTTGTGGATGTCCATGGGCTCCAGTAACCACTTATAACCAGGTGGGCTGTGAGCTCGTCTACCCATCTAAGCAATAAAAAAAAAGTTTGAAATTTAGAAAAATACCGTAACAAAAAAAATCTTCTTCAGCTATTTATTTGAATGGAGTAAACTAAATTGAAGTTCAATTATAAACATCGAACTGTTGATGCTAATACCAAATAAAACGCACCTTTAATTACAAAGATAAATATATGTATATATATGTTTTGGAGGTGATGGCATAGCACGATCCACCCGGACATTTTGTGAGGAATCTGTGGTTCGAGACTGATTTCGAAATTTAAACATAATAATTATCTTTAGGCGTTTTCTTTTAAGTTGTACCATGCGGCTTCGCTTGCATTAAAGTAGAAAAAAATCTGTATAGCATAAAAAATCGGTAGGCTATGTCCTTTTTTGTACCCTCTGACAAAGCGTATACAAAATTTCATGTTGATCAGTCGATTAGGTACACGCGGAATAGTAACAAACAAACACATTTTCGCATTCATAATACATATTAATGTGGATTAATCATCTCATATTAAATTAAATTAATTAACTCGAGTTACGAAAAAGAAGGGTTGTAATCTCGAAAAACTACTCACCACCGGCAAAGTAAAAGATGGGGGTGTTGTCACATGCACTGGTCGATCAAATTAAGACGACATTGGACTGCAACATCAATGTTTCTATCCATAGCGCGGAAGACAGGTATCAATGGAGGAACATAGTCCTAACAAAAGCTCCCTAAAGGTCACGACACTCAACACTGAGGAGCAGGATGCAAGGAGGAGGATTAAAATAAAAATATAAACTAAATCAATATGAAATCAAAATTAAAATGACTCATATTGGTTAAAATTCAGTAAGTCGTTGTGGCCTAAAGGATAAGACGTCCGGTGCAATCGTATCTAGTGATGCATCGATGTTCGAATCCCGCTGGCGGGTACCAATTTTTCTAATGAAATATGTACTCAACAAATGTTCATGATTGACTTCCACGCTGAAGGAATAATATCGTGTAATAAAAATAAAACCCGCAAAAACATAATTTGCGTAATTACCTGTGGTAGGACCTCTTCTGAGTCCGCGCAGGTAAGTACCACCACGCTGCCTATTTCTGCCGTGAAGCAGTAATACGTTTCGGCTTGAAGGGCGTGGCAGCCATTGTAACTGTACTTGAGACATTCGAACTTATATCTCAAGGTGGGTAGCGCATTTACGATGTATGGGCTCCAATTGGTTACTAGGTTGGTTACTTAACACCGGGTGGGCTATGAGATCGTCTACTCATCTAAGAAAAAAAAAAACTTTTGACAACCAAAAATCGACATGACATGTCCTTCTTCAAACGAAGCTTTTGGAGAGTGCTTTTGGTAGGCAGCGGCTTGGCTCTGCCCCTTGCATTGCTGAACATGGGCGACGGTAATAACTCACCGTCAGGTGGGCCGTACGCTCGTCTGCCTACAGGAGCAATAAAAAAATACAATATTATAAGACAATTAAGCTAGACTTTCATTGATTAAGAAATAATATTTATAGGTACCTAAGTATGTGACCACCAAAACTGTGCAATAATCAAATAATATGATTAAATAAAAAAAACACGACCTTAAATAGTAAAAGGGGTTTTATATATTTCTTGTTTTTTTCTTTTTCTTTTCTGAACAACATTAAATATCAACTTTTATACCTATATACTTTAAATGAATAGCTTACTCAACTTAAAATTCCAGAACTTTCATCAAGCACCATTATATTATATCAAGTGCCTAAAACCCTAAAGTGGTTACCTAACACGCAAAATTAAATTTTGTAAGTATTTGACGCTCGATCTCCTTCAAGGTGTCACATAAAAATGTTTACTATACGAGCTCTCTTGACATATTCATTCGACCCACTTATCAATATGCGACTCCGCATGTGTTACGTCAACGGGAGACGACATTTTAAATGTCCCAAACAAACCTCACGCATTTAATATAACTAGTGGTCCGGGAGTAGTCGAAATTCGACTATACTAATTGCAATTGTATGTTATTAAGCACATTATTATTATTATTTTCCTACCTAAACTGATAGCTTTGAGAGGCTATTGCAGCGTAACTTTAACTAGTAGGTGAGCTCACGGGACTCAAACCGGAGTGATGCTAGCACTGACCGTAGCAAGAGCAGTGCTTCGCAGAATCTACGCGACCCACTGAGAAGATTCGGAGAGAAACTCAGTGGGCATGGTTCTATTGTCAAACACTATTTCTATAATATAATCAACAGATTTGGCCAAAACTACGCTATAGATAAATAACATTAAAGACAAACAATATTAATCTATTCTCAATTTGACCCCAGACTTTAAACATTAAGAAAAGTTTAACAATTGCCAATAAACATAGAGTATATTTATATGTATATGTTGTGTCAAATACATCGTAGTGTGTGTAATGTTTTTTTATTGATTTAATGCTTTTTAACGCATAATTTTAAAAAAAATTACATTCTGTACTCCTTCTCTATATTCTCTATAAGTTTAGGAAATTTCATACTCCTCCGTCCGCGCAATTTTCGCAAAAAAGGAGTACAAAGTTTTTGCTTCACGTATTAATATATAGATTTATGTTACTATACATTACCCATTAAAATCATGAAATGACGAATAACAACTGCGACCTCTAGATATTGAGACTAAATATATAGTAAATAGTAACCATACTGAGACCTTAGAACTCATAATTCAAGGTGGGCGGCGGCATTTACGTTGTAGATGTCTATGGGCTCCGGTAACCACCTAACACCGGTGGGCTGTGAGCTCGTCCATACAACTATGCAATAATAAATAAATAAATAAAAGTCAATTTTTTTAGAATCATTGTGATATCAAATGACTCGAGCAATTGGTAGCAAGTTGTCCCCTAGGCCTCCGGCCCAGTTGAGACCTCAAGTTTGTCTGGTGAAGCGGCAATATCACAATATCAGCAGAAAATAAAGTAAAAACATAAAAACATAAGAAAAAAATAGTAAAAACATATTTTTAAAGTTTAACGGCTGTCGTATTTGTTCATTCTTGACCGTATTTAGTTTAAAAACCTCTTTTGTATTGTAGTGATGTAATAATGAATTTTAGTATCTTACGAAATTAACTAAAATGTAAACTTAATCAAAATATTACTGTTTTACTAAAATACGTTAAAATATAACTTGACTGATTAACTAGACAATGTCTATATAAACCATTATAAAATTTCCTGTAAACTTTCCTTAGGTATTATAGCTTAGAGATGCCAAAAATAGTTTTTATTTATTTATTCCATATTACATTTAGAAATTATTATACAAAAACCATATTATACGTAATTCCTTCTTTTCGTCTGAGGAGCTTAATTTAAGCATATTATTGCGACGAACTTAGCAAACTACTATTATAACATATGTCAAGTCACAAAATGAATCCAAAAATATAAATACGATAAATCTTATCGGCTCATATAAAAAAAAAAAACGATTCTTTCAGTTACCCACTGTTTTAGTTTCACAGTGGCCGGTATTGTTTTAAATGCCGCTACCACGACACAGTAAGACAAAATCATCAAAATCGGTTGGTAATGCGGTATCGAAAGCATTGGTACAGGGCGGACCAAAATATTGCTCTCCCGTGAGTCCCCTACGCGCCCACATGTTGAAAGCTAGTGATGCGATGCGATGCGATGTAATATATCGATAAAGATTTCGATTAACGATTCAAAACTCAAACACTATTTATCCTTAACGGACTCTTAAACTAAGTTATCGCTTTATTATTAAGTAGTTAGTGAAACTGGCCGACATCGTCACGTTAGTTCGTCGACCAAATTTATTTGTTTGAGTGCTTAATGCGAGTTTTTTAACGTTCTCGATAGCGTAAAAGTTAACGCAAATATGTATGAAGTTGGAACGTTTGTCTACGTTTGCCACTAAGGGCGCTGTGGCTATCGAAACTTTAAAAAGAAAACTTTAAAAAACTCGCACTAAGCACACTGAAGCCCAAATATATTTAACGATTAAAATCCCATTTCAGATGACATGGTAAAGCTTTACAAGTCGACTGAATACATTATTCTAATCTATGAGAGGGGAGTTACTCATAAAGTTAATTCAAAAAGTCTGATGTGATGATCAGTATTGTGATAGAATCAGTATTAAAGTACTGTTTTTTTCGATACCATCAAATATTAGGATCGAAGTCAGTAACGACTTCAGCGCTAATACGGTTGTTAATAATCCCATGTATGTTTGAAGATTTAAAATGAATGCTTGCGTGTCTATTTGCTTACGAACCATACGCGTTTATGTCCGAATTAGGTATATTTTGGTAAAATTTTCAGGGATGGTTTTTGTGGTTATCACAGTTCATCATTATCGTTGCACACGATCAGTTCAACAGAAGGGTTATTTTTCAGATATTTTGTTAAATAAATATAAAAATAATAATAATTCGAAATACGAACAAAGTGATTGTCTGACGAGACTGACGAACATCGAATCCGATCAAAGCATCGTGAGCTTGTTCCCGAGTAGTCACATCCCTATTCCCAACATCTCCCGTCTCAAGGAGTGTCGGCCGGCGCTAGTCAGAGTGTGACCGGCGCGCGCGCATCCCGCTCAACACGGACGCGATCCAAAAATACCGACCCAGCCCGGCCGACCGTTGACATGGGCTGACGTGCACGGCGCGGCCAAAAACCCATACAAACAACATTAAATAACTTGTGCGCGATAATAAATGGTGCAATGTCGCCGACTGCGATCAGCGCCGATCTGCCGCAGTGGTGCGGAAAGGCTGAAGGCTGCCCACAAGCACTACTCGGCTGGCTATACTTGACCCACGATCAGAACGATCAGGTAAGAATAGCTTAGGGAATCTTCGGCCTTACACGGAAAAAGCTCTCATATTCATGTGTCTCAGAAGCCACTGGGAGTTTCCGTTAAATACTCGTAGCAGCTTCAAAGCTTAGTAGAGCTTAGTAGAAGATGATTCGTTTATTTTGTAAGATGAATTTTCTTTTGGATTACAATTCGTCGAAGTCCAAATACGAAGTAGCATGTTCTAATTGAGAACGGCGGCCTGTAACTAATCTCACGTTTGACGTCAGAACGAACGAACCGAGAGGGCTGAAAATGTTTATTTTTTCATTCGTGCGCTTATGCGTGCTGCATTGAACACGTTACAAGCAAACGTACTTCTTTATAAAGGGACAAATCCATATTTGAATAGCGCTGCCGCTTGTCTATCGAACGAAATCAGAATGTGATTATCGTTTAGAAATATAAATATACTAGCTAATATATCCGTCCGCTTCGATGGGCATTTAAAATTAACATTATTATTTCTCACCCCCACAAAGATTCTCGTCATTAACGTCCCCGCAACTGGTGTAGGGAGTCCAAAACTTAAATAAATATTAGCCTATCCATTAAGTACATGTATTTTCTATATGGATACCAAGTTTCAAGTCAATCGGATGCACGGTTCAGTAGTTATAAGGAACATCCGTAAAAATCACTGTAGATTTATATATTAGTATAGATATCGCAGCCGAATGAATTACTATGGGAAACCGTGACTGTAGCCGTGAACTGAAGTTAGCCGATTCTGAGAAAAAGAAGCGCGCATTTTTAGTTCAGATTAAATTTATGAAACGAAATACGCACTAAGAATATGACCCACCGACAAAAATACATTTTAATTTTTTTATTGCTTAGTTGGGTAAACAAGCTCACAGCCCACCTGGCGTTAAGTGGTTACTGAAGCCCGTAAACATCCACAACGTAAATGCGCCACCCACCTTGAGATATAAGTTCTAAGGTCTCAAGTATAGTTACAACGGCTGCCCCACCCTTCAAACCGAAACGCATTACTGCTTTACGGCAGAAATAGGCAGAGTGGTGGTACCTACCCGCGCGGACTCATAAGAGGTCCTACCACCAGTAAAAATTAACCAGTAATTTAATTTCACAGCGATGTAATTCACCTGAGCGATAATAAATAACGTGAAAAGGTCAATCGGATCGATCTACGTTGTATTAACAACTAGTTAGACTTTTGTTCAGATGAGTTCACAGAACTGTGTCTCTATGTAAATTTAAACAAATAGTTATTCCCCAAAGTAATCTCTCGATCAGAGATTAGAATTAAATTATCATAGACAGATTTTTAAGGAATGTATTCTAAACGAAAAATTCTCAAACTCTTCGAGTTGAATTTACTAATATTATTTCCTACGATTATCTTTGCGAAGTCCCACAATGTTTTGAATTTAGGCGCGTCTTATCTTTCGGCTTATCTATCGACATTCACTTTTAACTTTTTTAGTATACAAAACCTCTTTTCTGCAACAAAGAACGTTTTGTATGTGAAATGTTTTATAAACAAGCTCTTATTAATAAATCATTGAACTGAAGTAAAATAAAAATGAGATTAACCCGTGCCCTGCAGCCCCAATGGCCGTCTTCAAAATCTATCGTCAGATCAATCCCTTAATATACCTTGCTGTTTTCAATTAGTGTTAAATTTTATTCGTCTAGTATGAAGTGGTTTCCATACCAAATATTCATCACAAAATGTATCCCTCCAGTCATCTTGAAACACGAGATCAGTTTTAATTGTATTATACAGCTGTTTCACTCTTCTAAACTGGAACGCATGATTGATTCGCGAGGGTTATTGATAATGATGACCAGTCATAGAGGAGAAGAATATTCCACTAGTAATTTACAGAAATATAGGGGTAGGGGACTGGAGAAAGTTAGGAAGCAGAACATTTTGCTAATACAGATATATAAAAAGAATGTAATGGGAGTAACAGTTAAAAGTAACCTATGTCGCGGTGCGATAATCCCTGATTAATAGTTGAACACTCAGTAACAGTGTAAACGTGAAAGACGATATGTATAAGAGGGTAGTGAGCGAAGAAATGGTATATAATGGAGGAGTATGGAAGGAGAAAACATGTTGCGCCGACCCCAGGTGACTGGGAGAAGGACAGGATAATGATGATGACTCAATTAAATAACAGTATAGTATCATCGGTCCTGCTACAGAAACACACTACGGCATTAGAACCGGAATGATAGACATATCGGCTTAGATACGAGAACATGGAAAATATCTTAATATCAATAAATTTTGTTCAAAAGGCCCGGTAGCTAAAGATCGACCAGTGATAGCCAATTTCGAGTTAGAGCCTTATTAGTCATTACAAAGTGAATAGATTATTGAACTTTTTGGTACAATATACTGGTGCTTTTGGACAGACGTGTTTTGTTTTCATATCTCTGTTTTTCTATTGATGCTGTTTGATGAGCTATCGGCGTAACTCGCGCCAAATTGTCACCGAAATCCATCTACCATAACCACGTGCTGGATGCTGTTTTTTTGCTGGTATCTGCAGTGAAACAGTAAACCGTTTTGGTTTAAAGGGTAGGGCAGATTGGTGGCGGAATTTACATTGTAGATATAGTCTATGGACTCCGGTAACCACTAAACACCAGATGAGCCTTTTGCTCGTCCACTAAGCTTAAAAAAATGAGATAGAAAACTCAATTATATACGCTATAGTCCCATGTCCTGCTTGTGTGGATATTACACATAAATTATTGACATCAATAATTAGTAAAATTCACATAATTTGCGGTTTGAGTTTCATGGTTATTTTATCGTTTCACATTCGCGAACACGCTTCATATCTATGACCTTTAGAAAAAATTTCAGCCGTAGATTTAAAAACCGAAATTGCACTAGTCGATACTGCTACATCGGCCATAGATATTGCCCATGCTATCGGCTGTATAGAACGCTCTATAATCGCAAATGCCGAGCTGACTAGCTACTCATCATTGTTCCACACAAAAACCGGTGATGGCCTTACCAAACTTTGTCTTCTTCTTTTTCTCCACCTTATCTCACTAGGTGGGGTGGGCATAGCTAATTTTTCTCTTCCATTCTCTTCTATCAGCCGTCATCTCAACACTCACTCCTCTCTCTCTCATATCGTCATTCACACACTCCATCCATGTCTTCTTTGGTCGACCTCTTCCCCGTCTACCTTTGCACTACCATTTCCATACATCTCCTAGTCACATACATCTTCTCTCTACGCATCACATGTCCATAGCACGCTTACCAAACTTTGAATCTATATATTAATACGTGAAGCAAAAACGTTGTATCCCTTTTTACGAAAATTGCGCGGACGGAGGAGAGTGAAATTTTCCACACTTATAGAGAATATAGAGAAGGAGTGCACAATACTAATTTTTTTTTTAAATATAGCATAAAAGATACATTAAATCAATAAAGAAAACATTACACACACTACGTACCATGTATTTGACGCACACACGCATGCATACTATTTATTGTCAAATTTTTGTTCTTGACGTCTGTTGTCAAATTGAGAATAGATTAAATATTGTTTGTCTTTGTTAATAATTTTTATAGTGTAGTCTTGGCGAAATTTGTGATTATAGAAGTATAAAATACAATCATAATAGTGTACAAACTTACAATTCCAATTAATTATAGTCGAATTTCGACTACTGCGGGACCTCTAGTTTGTTATAAATTGTAAACACTAAACTCTAGCTTCGTGCTAATACGCACGGAAATAGTTCATAGCGAGCAGCCAGCGAGCGAGGGTTATTGACACAGGCGGTGTACGTTTACGTATCTAACGTTTAACAAATTTATTAAATTCATTACCAGTTTACGACTGACTCGATGGTGGTGCAGTTAGCGTCACTGACTCTTGAGCAGAGGGTCGTCGATCGATTCCCTTATCGAGCAAACATTCGTGCGATGAACAGATTTGTTAGCTCTATGTCTGTGTGTTTATTATCTACTTAATTATAGGTATATATTTTTAAACATTTATTTGTATGTTATGTATATCTCAGTTCCTATAGTACTGGTGGTAGGACCTCTTGTGAGTCCGCGCGGGTAGGTACCACCACCCTGCCTATTTCTGCCGTGAAGCAGTAATGCGTTTAGGTTTCAAGGGTGGGGCAGCCGTTGTAACTATACTTGGACCTTAGAACTTATATCTCAAGGTGGGTGGCGCATTTACGTTGTAGATGTTTATAGGCTCCAGTAACCGCTTAACACCAGGTAGGCTGTGAGCTCGTCCACCCATCTAAGCAATAAAAAAAAGCCACTAATAATCCTACCGTCCTAAATAATAATCTCATTAATACACTTCCACTAATTATTAATGGTACCTATAAGTATATGACTGATATATGATACCATAACATTTTTGGGTATTAACCGATCCTTTTATTAAAAATTCACCAAGTTCATGACTGATCATGTCAGAAGCATCCTGTATTATATCTGCTAGTGCTCAATCGATTTGCATTCGCAATTGCACAGGCGACAGTTTTATTCGGTAATCCATCAGTCAATAAACCTTAGGATAATGAATATTAACGAATTAACAATATAAATATTTGCAATTATAGCCACCACGATACGGAACAGAGAAGAATTTTATCTAAATCACTAATGCATGTATACCTCAGAGATTATTTCAATACCGGACTAACATAATTTTGTCATTAAAAAAAAACAAGGCGACTTTATCTGCACTCGCGAATTTTGGGCGACTTAATGAGAACAAACTGACAATTTGACTGTCAGGTCATTAATATAAAATTTCGGACACTTTTCGTGTTTTTGTAACCGTGCCATACGAAGCTCGGAAAGGCTCGAATTTTTAGAACGCATTAGTTTTTTTTTTTTCTTTCAATCTGCGACATAACCGATGTTCAGAGTTTTTAGCTGTTAGTGGAAGCCCATATACGGATGGATTGAATGTCACAATCAACAGTTTCGAAGTCGTCGT